TCCAGACACGCCCAGGACTGTGCTAACCAATCCACTAGGCATTTCTTAGTCAAGTGGACACCACAATTAACTATCACAGCGAGCAAGTGGCACATTTTAGGGCCATAAATGATGAGAAATCAAGATACTATTCTGTATCCATCTAAATAAATATCTGATTTCTTAGTGCAGGGCTAACATTTTAGAGCAAGCAGCCTACACCAAAGGCCTCAAGGGGCCTTTACTTCTCTGTGACACATTTAAATCATCTCATCTTCAATCCTGACACATTAGATAAGAAACGCAAGCAATAAAAAGTCTGCTTGGCTATATATTCGAGTAAGAGGAACCAAGATGAACAGACCCAAACAGAGATCCTGACTCAGTTTACTTTTTCCTGCTGCATGAAGTAAAAGCAAAAGCCAAATGAGGTTTATAACTCCGCTTTTGCTAAAGGTGGATCAATTATTTTCCTGGAATCAAGCCAAGCTGCTAAACAATTCCTCTGCATGAAAAGCAGACTAGAAGAGAAAGGAAGACCCTGAGCTTTCCCTCCCTCTAACATCTGCTGTTCCAAAGGTGGACCATCAGCCAGTAGTATAAGCATTACCTGGCAGTTTGTAGGAAATGCAGGATTGTAGGCCCCACCCTATGTTAGCAGACTTAGAGAACTGCATTTGTATTTCTCCCAGCAGTTCACACATATGTCAAAGTCTGAGAAGCACTGAATGTCTGATTCCTAAACCCATGCCCAGGTTTTCTTTCATTTGGATCTTTGCTTGATTCCTAAAATAGTGCCGTACATATGGTCAATAGCTAATGAGAGATTTGAGAAATTCTCACTGACAGTTATTTAATTTCATTTGAAGGGAAGAGAGCATTCCCGAGAATCTAGACCATCTCAATGAGGGGCTTAGACAGAAACAGAAGCGTACCAAAAACAAGCAAATAAAACAATTTCAGACGTACACACTTAGCTCTGCTGAGTGGGACACAGGCATAGTAACTGCTCTCACTCCATCTGCCACCTGTAATATTTCTTTCCTTCCTCATTCATGCTCTCCTTCATCTGAGCTGTTACTAAGTTCCTTTGCTGTGTTTTGCTTCAGATACAGGGGAGCACCACACGGTTGCCAGTCCTTTACAGCTGATCCTCAAAGCCAGCTCTCTTGTGAGATGCTGTACCACTAATCCAGGAAAAACATAAAACAATGTGGCACATCAGTACTTTTTCCCTTTCAGGCAATGACCACTGGGCCATGGTAACCCAGTACATGTCTTATTTCTGACAGGATCTGACTTCATACACAGCAATGAAAAGTCAGACCACCCGGCCCCCGTTTTCTCCTCTCTGTTCAAGCTGACACCCTGCTTGAAAGTCAAAAGGGTCAGGGGTTGGCAAATATTTATGGATTAACTGGATTCTGCCATAACATTATTATGATTCCAATGATGACAGGATTTAATGAGTAATAAAGTTACCATCTGTCAGACACTTACGATGTACTTCAAACAACTCTATGAAGTAAAATAGCATCCCCCACTTATAAGTGAGAGAATCTGAGGCTGTCCAAAGTTGAATAACTTGCCAGGGACATGGCAAAGTTAGATTTCCAATCTACACCGATCTGAGTCCAACGACTCTTAACCACGGAACTAGTGCGGTGTCTCACTTGTCAGAAAACACTATAGGTGCACTCAGGACAGAAACCTTTACTTCTGTGGGGCTAATGCGAGAATCAATTGGGATTAAAAATGTTGCTGGGCGTGGTGGCGCACGCCTGTAATCCCAGCACTCAGGAGGCTGAGGCAGGAGGATCGCTGTGAGTTCGAGACCAGCCTGAGCTACATAGTGAGTTCCAGGTCAGTCTCAACTACATAGTGAAACCCTGTCTCAAAAAAACCAAAAAACAAAAAGTTAAAGCACTTATAAAATAAGGTACTGTAAGGTACTGTTTCATATGTTAAGATCGTGTCCAACTAGCCCTCAATGTTCTTTGAATGGCAACTACACACATGAAAAATGTTCACCCCTATAATTAAAGACATCCAGGTAAAGTAATATACATTTTCATTTCTCAAATTAGAACACATTTTGCAAAGATTTACCCTTATATTGGTGAAGATGCTTTAAACTTGTATATGACTGGTAGGAACACAAGTTAGCTCTACCTTTCTAAAAACCAATACGCTTTAAGACCTTCTCAGGCTTAGTGTGCAGCTCTGTGATAGACCACTCACCTAACAAGGTCTTCTTCAAAATTGGTACACCTTGGCTGGGCATATAATTTAAAGTAGAGCATTTAACTAGCATGCATGAGTCTCTTAGTTAGATATCCAGAACTCCAAAAAGAGAAAAAGAGGACATCATTTCATATAAGGAAAAATAAATCAGGAGAGAAATTCATCCATAAGAGAGCTCCTACATAGATCTGGGAGCCAGATTTCTTGGGTTTACACCTCAGATTTGCTGCTTACTAACAGTGTGATCTTGGACAAGTCTGTGTGTTTAAAATGAGAATAATAGCATTCATTACACTGGTATGATGGTTAAATAAATTAATATATGTAAAGTGATTAATCCAGTGCCTGGCACAAAGTAAACCCTATATATACTGTATCTATTACTTTTCATCTTGTTACCTATAATAATAAACTCTGTCTCACCATACAGAAACCTTGGCTGTATGTCCTATAGTACAGACATAAAATGGAATATCAGAGAGCCACTAAGCATAAAGTTTCAGGGGCTGAGGATGTAGCTCAAGGTACTCGCCTAGCATGAGGCCCTAAGTTCAATCCCCAACACTGGAGGAAAAAAGAAAGAAAAAGAAAAAAGAGGCTTTAAAAGAATATTCAAGCATATATAATATGAAGTTGAAAAAGGAAACAAATTATGTATATTGTTCCACAGAGCTCATGTTTGTTAAGAGCACTTTGTATAAATATAGACAGAAATAGAAATACAGATGCAAATTAATTGATGAGAATTATGTAAAAAATTCAAAAAGACTGATCTAGGTAGTCATGTAGGCTTGGGGGTTTCTCCTTTATTCTTCTCTGTATGCTTCCAAAACTTCTAGAGCGGCACAGTATCTTACACTTTAATAGGTATGTGAATCACCTGGCAATCTTCTTCAAATGTGGCTCCTGTGTCAGTCAACAGGTCAGGGACTTGCAGGTCCTACGCTTCTAACAGGTTCCTGAGTGACTCTCATTCCACTGGTCCATGACCTACGCTATGATCAGCAAGCTTCTGAACAGGGTGTCCAATCACATGGGAAGGCCTGTAAAAGTGCAGGTTTCTGGAACCGATGTCTAGAATTTCTGATTTAGTAGGTCTGGAATGAAAGCCTAGAACTTGCCTTTCTAACAGTTTCCCACATGATGCTGATGCTGCAGATCTGGGAAATACAGTTTGACAACTACTGCTCTAGCATATATTTTTTTCTCAGCATCATAAAGGAGGTAAGGGCACTAAAAACGTCTGCCGTCTTCACTGAGTACAAAATCAAATCCATACTCTTCATCCAAAATCCTCCACAACTCATCTAATCGCTTCTACTTAGGCCACAAAATCTAACCACTGTGCCCTAAACACAACTTAGATTTCAAACATGATGACCTCTGCGGGATTTCCTCACCCTGGCTGATAAGTCACTACCATTTCGTCATGCTCAAATCCTACCTGTCTTTCAAGGTCCCCAAATGGTGCCTACTTCCCAAGCCTCCTAAACCACCACTATTCGTAAAGCTGCCCTCTGACCCCTCCACTGTTCTGGACAGCACTGTCCCTTGCTCCCCATGACACTTCCCAGTCTCACATGGCCCAGTGACTCTGCTGATGGGTAGTGTCTCTCTCCCAGTGGACAGGGAAGTCCTTGGGTAGAGGAGTAATTTGCCTATCATTGTTTGCCTCTTGGCCTTAGGAAATCCCCAGCAGACAGCACTCAGAGCTGACAAAGAGAATGAAGGAAGGAATGGAGGCATCTGCCGGAGGGCACGGAACTGTCCAGTAGTGGAAACTGGAACCGCATGCCCAACAAGCCCGGTGACCCACAGTAACAGGTGTTTGCATCTCTGAGGTCCGTGAGTCATCCGCACAGCTGCGCGCGCACACAGCATAAGCACGCACAGGCTCCCGGAATACAACGCCTCACAAGCTGACGTGGGCACCGTGTTCTGGGCACCCTGACACACACCTCAGCAACAACCTGAATCCACAAAAAGGAGGCCCTGGCCCTTCAAATAATAATGCCTTACTGGGAGGGGAATAAAGCTATGGCTTGTGCCTTCTTCCCTCGCGCTGAACCTTTTAGTTTTTAAGAAATCCCTGGAAGGTGAGTCTGCATGCATTTCGACGCTGCTGATTGCTAATCTAAACACACACACACACACACACACACACACACACACACACACACACACACACACACTCACACACACCCTTCCCCCATTCGTCTCTTTCAGACTAGGCGCGCCTCCAAGAACTGGATTGAATGGGAAAGAGCGGGGCTGTCTTTGTCATTAATCCTGCCCTCCTTCGAGCAAAGCAAGCTCCTTCCGGGTCAGCGACAATCACCGTAACCCCGGTCAGGCCCGCGGGGCCCCCAAACCCTTAAACCCGGAGTGCTCGAGGGCCAGGTTGCGGGAAAGAAGGGGACGAGGGCGGGAGGCGCGGGAGTGGGGGAGGGAGGCGAGGCGGGAGCCGATCGGAGGAGGAGGAGCAGGAGGAGGAGGAGGAT